CCTCTCTCTACCCAAAGTGGATTACTACTACTAGATACGCTACAGTTTAAAGCTACTTGAGGTGTCTCATACTATTACATAGTAAGCTGCTAGCAATTCCGTTAGGCTGATCATGGAGGGACCGTCATACTATTTCGATGGAGTTCAGCGTATTTACGAATTAGATCCAGGCATTGACACCATCTGGTTGGGATCTGAAGCTATCCGTTTAGATTCCATCCATCAGTCTAGTATCGCCCCGAGATCTCTAATGAGATCTTGTGGAGTTAGATCTCATGCTACCCAGAAGGGGTAGTCCTCCAGCATATAAAGCGACTGTTCATTTACCAGGCTCTCGGCCTATCAAACTTTCCTCGAGAGCTAGACCCTACCTAACCTAAGGCTCTGTTTTCAATTGGAGTTATGATACTAGAAACCTAGAAGGACCGATAGCCTTATGAGATCTATTATAAGGTATAGCCTAACAGTCGGATTAGGTTACCGCGATAGTTGTGTGTGGAGGTATGAAAAGCAAGGCTGGTACGTTCAACTTATTTGAACCTTACTAATACCTCCTCCATGGTACATTCGCAGTACAAATTGTTAACGTCCTCGACAACAGCAGGGCTCGTCACTAAGTCTCAAATTAGTCTTCTGAGTCCGCTCACCTGTTTGACGACAAGTAGAATAATTATGAAGACAATATGACCTGTAAAAGCAGGCCCTTTAAGGCAAAAGAAGGAAAGGACTAGATATTGACTGGTCTAGCAGCATTTTGACGCCTGTGATCCAAAACTGCCCTCTAAAATTTGGTGTCTTCGGGAGGCATCTCTTCAGGCATTTCTCCATACCTTGCCTGCTTTGCTGACATTTTAACAATACAACGACCACTGGTTTTCTGGACCCAAAAACACATAACGCATTTTACTCTTCTCCGATACCATGTGCCGGCAGTAGTTCAAACTCTCTTGACTCGAGCTCGAGGACCCTAAGTTCCGCCGGTCCCTCATGGCATCTCGCTCCTTTTACGCGCCCATAAATAAAGATGCGACGACCATTGAGAAAAGAGAAAAAGACATATGCTACTTTTATAGCGCGAAAGTCTGTCCCGTCTTCCTTAACGCTGGTTAACTTCGAGTCTTATTATTAGCATTGGCGCCAAAAGTATCTTCAGATCACCCTAAATAGGTGCGTACGAATAGTGTCCGGTAGATCGGCTCAGAGCTGCGGTGGATCTTGACAACCCTAACATCCCGATATCCTATATTGCTCACTAATACCGGTCTAGTGATCAGAGTTTAAGGCGTGATCCCTATTAGTCTTCTTCGTGTCTCCCTGCTTGCTCAATCTTTACCCGCAAAACTCGAAGTCTGAGCCTTCTGACCCATGGTCTTGGTCCTAGGCTATTGGCCTGTGCTAACTGCTCGATGGCACCACTTGTCCTGTGGGTCTCCGTTATCCGTACGATCTCCCGGCATCGCGATTCGCAATGGCGGCTATCACCCGCGAGGCGCTATTCTGGTGATATAACAGAGCCATTTCCGTTTGTGGCCTAGCTACTGCCGCTTAACCCTCCATTGACGGGGTTTCGGGAAGCTAGGATGCCGACGATGGCTCAACCCAAGACGATAACTAAGCGGTTCGATATCACGTTGGTTGATATACGGGTACTATCGTCGGGGACTATCAAGAACGATTGCAACCATATGTATAATCTCCATGAGATCCTATTCGGCCATATGTTTATTTAGACCAAGTTGCTCCACGAATATCTAGGAACATGAATCTAGGAACGTATATTAAGTTTAGTACTGTGGTCCCTCCAACCTTATGGCAACTGAATCCATCTCTAATCAGCTTATTAGATATGACGCGTGATGAGGTTCGCGTGAGGTTGTCCTAAGGGGCATGTGAGCTCGGCTACTCGAATCCTTCGAGAAGAAATCCTTTGAGCATGAGTTCTCGCAAACTTTTTTTTTTGTTTTGTTTTCTGAGCTATTCATAGTCAAGAGGAGGCAAAACGTGTAAAATTTTCCGCATCACCAACGCCTTGCTGCTTCGTGTCATATTGTTGAGTACCCGGGTTTACGACGAATGAGCCGCGCTAGTCTCCTGAAAGCCCACACAAGGTGCATCGGCAACGAAGTGTTACATCTCATCCATACCGAATTTTACACGTTTTTTCTACTCCAGTCCCCCCTTATTTACTGATAGCCAGCCAGGTTCTTGCACGTTGCGTTTAGAGTCTCCTACTTAGCAGGAATTTTATCGCACATGGGACAATGGCCTGTTGTGTAGATGGCCGGCCACATTATATCAACCATGCCCTATTTTTCACTGTTTACCCCTCCAAGTCCAGGGGCCTGAATGGCACCACAGCAACCCCGCGGAACACTAAAGAGATCCCCTCACCGCCCTGTCTCCAAGGGGGTAAGGGTGAGAATATGAGGCGACCTGTTCCAATTGTAAATCAACTATAGCTGCAGGCATCTTGAGTATACTCTAAACCAGGTCGTCCTGACCGCTTGAGCACATTGAGCATACCCCAGTCCATTTTGGACCCCTATGTATGCCGTAGTTGTGCGTTCTGAGTAAGACGTAGAAACCCTCACGTGTTCTGGGGGCCTAAGAGCATCTCATTTCAGCTATTCCAGCCCTCAACTCTTATGAATTATCTCAGCACCGCAACAAAGATAGCTCCAATTTATATCCTATTTCTCATGGGGCCTCTATACCAAACAGTAATGGTATGCTTCACACCGCTCGTGCTGTGGATGAGCCTAATGCATCGACGTTGCAATGGATTACTTGTTGATCTTAGGAATATACATGGGTGTGTTTTCAACAGCCCCCGAAACTGTAGGGGTTCTGACGAATCAAATATTCACCTCTTCTATGATCTCTCTTGTTCCCAACCACGATAAAATCAGATATGCGTCTTCAAAAGAACTTTTCATGCAATCAAAATGTCCATCATGGGGCGATGCAACGCTCTGCCGCACGTTGGTTGAGCCGACCTGCTTTCCTGTCATGCCCTTGCCATGCCCTTGCCATGCCCTTGCTATGCCCTTGCTATGCCTGTGCCATGCCCGTGCAGATTCGCAAGCGCACATGGCACGACCCTGGCTCCCGTAGATATAGAACTCCTAGGGTAGAATATTTATATGCAGGACGATTGCCATCAATTTGACTTGGAAGATCAGTTCTCCAGCCATCAGTTAAATCCAAAGAGTTGTGTATAAGAAATCCTACTCGGATCACAGCATAACGAAATTCAAACAATTCATACCCACCCATACCATTCAGCAGAGAGATTCACGATGGCAGCACAAAAGCACAACCTCAAGTACGAACCCGAGTTTGCGGCGTTCTGGGCGAAGCTTGCTGGCGCAGGCGGAGAAATCCCAGAACAGTCGCTAGAAGAACTACGTGAAGCCAACGACACCTTCATGCGTACTATGTTCGCTCAGTTCACACCAGTGCCCTCCGTCATAAGGACCAAGCACTCAACCAAGTCATACGACGGTGCTGAGATCGATGTCTACCGGTATGCCACCGAGGAGCAGAGGTCCAGCAAAACACCACTACCGGCGGTCCTACACATTCACGGCGGTGGTATGATGGGCGGAAGCGTCGAAATCTTCAAGCCTTACATCAACAACCTAGTCGACAAGACCGGTATCCAGTTCTTCGCAGTCGAGTACCGCCTCGCCCCTGAGAACCCACACCCCGCCCCTGTCGAGGACAGCTATGCGGCCCTTAAGTGGATCATTGATAACGCTGCCGAATTCAACGTCGATGCCACACGGCTCGCTGTTATGGGCGACAGCGCGGGTGCCGGTCTTTCCGCAGGTGTATCGCTACTAGCTCGCGACCGTGGCCTACAACCCCCATTGAAGAAGCAAATCCTCGTCTACCCCATGCTTGACGACAGAACCATCTTCGCCTACCACGCGCCCGAATACCAGAGCCCGCTGAAGGAGCTCGTCATCCTTAACACAAACACCCTCGTCCGCTGCTGGGAGTACCTCCTCGGCAAGGACAAAGCCGGCAAGCCCGAAGCCGATGTAAGCCCCTACGCAGCACCAGCGCGAGCGAAGGACCTCAGCGGACTGCCGGCTGCGTACATCGAAGTCGGCAACCTTGACTGGTTCCGAGACGAATCGATCGACTACGCCAAGAGATTATCCGACGCACACACGGAGGTCGAACTCCACATCCTGCCAGGTGTACCTCACGGATTCGAGGTAGCCGGTGCCATCAGCACGGCCAAGAAGGCAGTGGACTTACGAGTCGACGCTATTAAGGCGATTGCTCATTAAGATGTAGTAGATAACTAGATATAAAATACCTCGAGGAAATAAAGGGTTCATATTAAACTCTCATCTATGATGTTTTTTTTTTTTCTTTTTACCAATCAGTTTCGATCTTACGCGCCTCATGATAAAGTGATGTGATAATACAGTGAAGTAACGTCGCAAACCAATAATTTCGTACAAACACGACGTTGGTAGAAACAGTCAAAATCCGCCGATTGGACTCCACTCGTGATCCCCTCAGTTAACCTGGACTGCCACGTGGACACCTTGCTTCAGCATTCAAGATCCGTGTTTGTCCCACGTTGATGAATATGTCCAACAGCAGAATCCACAGAACCCCATAATATGTAAAAGTAGGGCACAGAAACGTGTATCAAGGGGCACGAACACATAATAATAATAATAATAGGTATGCCAAAATAAAAATAAAAATTTAGTTCTGCGAGGTAGGACTCCGCCAGAGTTAAAAAGAGGCACATGAGGCAGAGGATACTGAAGGGGAAAATGATAGTACAAAACATACGGACCGACTAAAAGTAAATAAGATGACTGAATATAGGATGAAAAAAAAATGAAAAAAAAAAAAAAAAAAAAAAAAAAAATTAGAGGTTGCTAATCCCAGTTGACTGGGAAGCATCAGGAATTGAGCCCGATGCGGGGGTCGAACCTTTAAGGTAGTGTTAGCATATGGTGTAAATAGTCTCACAGGAGAGAGTATTAACTTACCCGCAACCTTGAGATTAAGAGTCTCACGCTCTACCGATTGAGCTAACCGGGCGTCTAGTGTGAATTTTTGTTGCATTTGCGGCATATATTTCGCGCGTTGGTGGTGTGGTGTGCGGAAAAGCCAGGAAAAGCCATAACCAATCATAGCTCGAACTTGAAGTGGGCACCGTGTGTAGTCCGAGTCGAAGACACCCCTTCCCAGTATATCGTACGTTAGGCATGGCACAAGAGGTGGTAAAATTAGTTGGAAAAATCAAGGTAAGCTATTAAGGCACTGGGTAGAAGACTAATAGCAGACGAAGAAAATAGAACAAAATTCTAGAGACCTCAAGAAAACTAGGAGTCACATCTCCCGGGTATCATGATTAGTACAGATCGTACTAGAGGTAATATGATATAAAATTAGGAATGAGGTAAGGTAAATAAGAATGGAACACTGAGGCTGATAAATGCAGCTATTCTAACTTAACTACCTGATATAAGTACCTATCTAGGCTACTCGAGGTCATCTGCTGTGACGCGTGCGTGTCTGATTCGGGGCTCAGCATCCTGCAAACCTATAGCCCCTTACATACACAATGCAGTAACTAATAAACAACTATATGAGAAGATACTTACTGTACCGGAGATAGCAGATATATAGTTTATTGGATCTAAGTGTATGGGTATTCATTGAATCAAATACAGTGCACTTCAAGTTGCTTTCTGTTCTGCAAGCCATGAATGCATCTGACAATCTGGAAAAAAGGTGCTCACTAGATTCCCCGGAACTTCCACTAACACAACGTAGCTATAATGTCTTTAACGTATTGATATCTCTATAGAGCTAGCCATGCTATTACTCTTCTAGGTGTATAAACTGCGTAGTTACAATAGGTATATTGTCATCCGCAAAGCGATGTAACAATGCGTCGTTCAAAAGCCACGTGCGCACGCATCTCAAAGGGCTGGAATTGCAGAGGATATATGTTGGTTTTTAAAACGGAACAACCTCCTTTCCAACTTCTCTCAGCGCCTTCACAAGCCCCTCTACGGTGCTCCTCAACGTCTGTGTGTTCACCACCACGCGGAAGAGGCTACCCTTTGGACCGGGCGCGTAGTCCACCATGAACCCCCTCGACACAAGCTTCGCGACCATCTGACTAGTCTGTCGCGTGGTCTCCTCCTGAGCGTCTGGTAATACACCACCCGGTGCATAATAGAAGCATACCTGCAGGCATGGAGGTGGGTTACTAGAGAGAAGGTAAAAGTCACCGGACTCCTGAATTAGCGTTGCGAGGTACGCCGCAGTATCGAATGCGTGGTCAACGCGTCTCTCGATCCCCTTATCTCCGTAGTAAATCCACGCAAGAGCCAGGTTTAAGGCGTCTCCACGGCGACCGCACTGGAGCGTCAGGTCTGCTAGGTCCCAAACCTCGTCCTCTGCGGCTGCATCGTGGAACAAGTACCCCGCGCGCAAAGTGTTAGCGCGCTGGAAGACGGTAACGTCGTTAGTTAGAAGGAACGAGCAGGGTATGGGAACGTTGAGCATTTTGTGCGGGTTGACGGTCAGGGAGTTGGCGTGCTCTGACCCGGTTAGCTTGTGTCGTTGCGCCGTGGAGAAGATGGCTGGTCCACCCCACGACGCATCGATATGCAGCCAGACGCCAAATTCCTTGCAAATGGGCGCGATCTCGGCAAATGGGTCGTAAGATCCCCAGACGGTTGTTCCAGCAGTTGCATTGACGTAAAGGGGTGTCTTCCCCTCGTCCTTAGCACGAACAATAGCCGCACGAAGCGCTGACGGGATTATCTGTCCGGCCGAGTCGACTGAGACCTTGACTACGCTGTCTGAACCGAGACCGCAAATTACAGCTGCCTTCTCAACTGAGTAATGTCCATGTTCACTGGTGAAGAGCGCAAATTGACGACCTGCGTTACCAGAAGTTTTTACTTCGGGGAACAGGGTGTTTCGGGCGATTACAAGTGAAGTCAAGTTCGAAGCACTGCCGCCTTGACAAGTAACGCCACCTGCTCTGGGACCGGTGAAACCAAAGAGGTTTGCTAGTTTGCGTGCGGTAGTCTTTTCGATGATGGTTAAGGCTGGCGATGTCTTCCAGACATGTACCTGAACTCAGTTAGGAATTTGAAAAGAGAAAGTTAAGGGATAAGAGGACCTACATTGGTGTTGAGTACTGTGAGGACAAGTTCTGATATTACGCCAACCTGTTAAGCTGTGTAAGTATTTACTTGAGTTGATTCAATGCTCTTTCTGAGCAGAAGAGTGATATCTTACTGGATTTATACTGGAGTATAACTTGTCCATGAACCCCTGATCCCATGTGTTTACACTGTATCGCAGAATGGTCTGGATAGTATCTATAAGGCCTTCCTTTCCTGCCCCTTCTTCTGGTAAAGATATGCGCAGTTTCTTTACTAGATCTTCGGGTGTATGTTTATCTACTAAGATATTTCTACCTGGTGCTCCCTGAGCATCCACAGCTATAGAGCCGCTGGCTCGACTTGAAGCTGCGTTGTCTGCATCCCTAATGAATTGTATGAGGAGAGACTTTACGGCATCGAGCAACTAGTCGTGGTTTAGCCAAGTGAGACGTAAAATAATACCAGTATATAAAATAACTACACCACAGTTATGTAACTTACATCTTCAACCTCGTCGGCTCTGTTGAGTTTGGATTCGTTGGCGTTGATATAAGAAGACATATTTGGCGACTACGAAAGGCTCAAAAATTGATGTTGTATTAAGGTACTTGAGAGATTTTGGGCTCTTGCAGGTGAACCACATTGGTAAACTCACCTATTTGATGGTGGCTTCCCGGATTTGATTATCTGATATCCAAATCTGCATTTTTTCGATTGCCCTTTCCGTGAAGATATCGTCTGCAAATGTAATTGCCGAGGACCCACAGTGTAGGCTGGATCCCGGGCTGCTATTCGGCGCAAGCGATCGCGTGCTCCTCGGAATTTTAGTGCAATGACTGGAAAGAAGTCTTTATATCATAAAGGTAGTAGTTAGCTCATTAGAGGAAATCGCATACTATTTTCTAGCACCCTAGACCCCTGTCTAGAGGGTCAAGGAAAAGGGAGGAAAAAAAAAGAAGAATTATTAGGTTGCATGCAATGGGGTTTATCGCCTCTTGTAATAAATAGGTCATCACAAACCGTCTTGTTTGTTCACAGTATTCCGCCGAAGGAAATGGGTATACTTGGACAAATCCCTTTTTGATAGCCTGTGATATCACGCCAATCTCATCCTAACTCTTACAAACGCCGTAATCCCCAGGGCCTTGCCAACTGAACTCAGTTTATGCCGTGTAATTGAGACATGTTTTTTTATGTTTACCCCCCCCCGGAAGAAAAGGTATCATTCAATCCGTCAATCCGTCCATCCGTCCATCCGATGCATCGTATTCTCGTAACGCCCTTAGTCGACTCGTTTCTTGGTATCAACCGTTTCTCCCCCGTTTTGCTCGGGAGTTTTGCCATTGCTCACACCTATATCACCCTCTTCTTCGTCCTCATCCCATGCGTCCACTGCATTTTCATCCCAGTTGTCAACTTCATCCTCAAGAGTGCTAACCCTTTCGTTTCCGGCTGCCGACATGACGCCTTCCTCTTGAGCCTCGACACTCTCGCCAAGCTCGAGATCTGTGGGCTCTTCGCCGGGAACAGCATTGTATTGCCTACGCGAACGCTTTCTCTCCAGCATTCTTAAGTGATACCAGGAACATAGCCCCAGTCCCGCTAAGCTGCCCACAATATTGGCTACGATATCGTAGGGATCAAACTCTCGTCCATTGGGGAGAAACCCTTGTAGAAATTCGGAGCCGATACCCAGGCCGAGGGTACATACGACGACGGTGAAATTGAGGGTACGACGGCGGTTCGTATCGATAATCCAGTAGAAGGCTATGGTCAAGAGGAAAAAAGTTAAGAGGTGTAGGACTTTATCATTGATAACGGTGTCGAGCTGCAGGGAGGAAAGCCCCGCGTAACCTGCGAGGAGGCACAGCAGGAAGAAAACTCCTATAGATTTTCTGTTAACTTAAAATCCTCGTCAGGGCCGGAATGTAAAGCTTAGGAAATCCATAAGGATTGCCATAGAAAGCTTAAGGAACTTCTAGAATACGGAATAACTGGAATATGTTAGGCAACAAAGAGAAAGCTATGAAACGGACCTGCGAAAGGTAGGCGAATGCGCATATTGGAGTCTGTAAGAGTTTAAACAGGGATAGTACGCATGTGCATGATTTCACAGAGGGGTATTGTTGGTTCTAGCAGATAGTAAAGATTTTGTGATGCTTGACGAAAAAGGAAAAAAAAAAAATTGTTGCCGAACTGAAGAAGAAGGACTGGTGAGCTTCACTTCGGGTTTCCAGCGATGGAAAGTTAAGACGGGATCCACTTCTTTCGTCACCCAGCTCATCGGTTACTGAAATATGAAATACAGTATGTTATTCGGGACTTGACGCAGCCCGCTTAAGTTGATTGGTACGTAAGGTATGTATTAGGTAAGCAATCCAGGACTTTGCTATGAGGTACCTATGTCCCTTATGTAACCTACCTGCACCTTATTATCTGCAGCTGGCCGCCTGCCCATTGCCTGGGGACAGCTAGGGACTTTGATATTCCCCACCAACTTACCTAACCTACTTATCAGATCACGTTCGGACTCTCCACACTTATGATGCCGGGGTTTCAGAATATGCAGGTTGGACAGAGCTGAGTTAGTATCTATAGGGACTTTGGGGGGAATCTACAGAGCCCCAGATTCTTGATTGTGTGCTATATATGATGCACTTTATGCAGTGGTATTAGTTATCAGATCTTGAATTGGAGATGCTTAACAAAATGAAAATGTGGCTGTAAGATGGTGGTTTTTTTATGGTGGACGCTGACTTTTAGCCATAGTCTTTAGCACGTGACATTTATGATTATCTAAAGATCATTCGATTGGAAATATCGCTGCTTGCGGGGGCTACCTATGAATAGGTAGGTACATGTGATTATGTACCTATTTCTGGTATGTATTAAGTGTACTAGAATCGAAGA